GTTTCAAGTGCTGAATCCAACATCACTTTTGCCAAAATGTCCATCAGATTTGTCACCAGCGCGAGCACAGAATTTTCTCCTCTTACCACCTCCAGATTTGCTATTTTTTCATCCTGTTCACCCAGCTCTAAAAAGGTCACATCCAGGCACTTCCATGTATCAGGGACTCACAACCAGCTAAGGAAAAAGGGTCGATCAATCACCCAAAATGGGCTCTGCTGAATACTGTGCTACTTCCTCAGCAGGCTCTTATTCCACATAGGAGTTCCTCTCAGCACAGAGCTAAGATGCTCTTTGATGGGATGCAACCAAAAGAGACCCGGGCTCAGAAAAGTGCTTTCCACACAGAACAATATCTTTGAAGTTTTGCACAGTTTCGGTGTAAGGGGAAATAAATTTGGAACAGTCATGTCAGAACCCTTTCCCTCATCGAGCACTACACTGCCACAGCAGGAAAAATTAACACTGATTTCACTTTTCAGAGGTCCCAATCAAACCCTGTATTTATCATCAATCAAGGCAGCTGGCAACTACCCTGTCTTTTCCTAAATTCCTTCAAATACTCCAGGTTTCTTTGGCAAATGAAGTTCATCAGAGCAACAGTGCCCCCGTCTGCTGAAACCAGAAATTGTCACAGTTTAAGCTGACCGATTTACACGCCAACATTTCCTTGGTTAATAGGCGTTTACTACGCTTTTTCCTTTCAAAAATGAAGCAGGATGTGTCTTGAGTGTTCAGAGTGCCTGATATGATCAAAGATGGGAAATTCAGCTCATTTTGTACACACTTGTTACTGTCCTTTTGGCAGGAGAACTAAACACTAGGCTTAGTTTAAATCTACCTGCTGCTTAGTTCTACCCTGTAAGCTCAGAGGAAGCAGATTCACAATTTGCCTCTAAAGAGAAGTTTTGTGAAATAATGTGAGCCCTCCTACCTTTCACAGGGACACAACGGGTGACTTGCTGATGGCCATACAGGAGGCATGAAAAGGCTGAAAAAGAAGCGCCCCTTTTCCCTTGGTCCCCGGTTTTATCACTGAAGAACTTCTCTTTTCCTTCCAGACAGGGCTCTGTGTAAGCTGAGGAGCGTCAGGAATTTCAAATAATGGACATCCTTCAGGCACCAGTGGGCCCAGCTTCTTCCTCTCCCCAGGAGTCCTGAAACCATTCACCTAAATCTGCAGTAGGATAGAACAAAACACAAGTGTCAAAAGACACAGTTCTCCTGGATCACCCCAGGAGCCCTTCAGGAAGGAATCATTCCTTCTTGGGGTAGCAATTCCCCTGGAAGTTTATTATACAAAAAAAATCAGGAAGAAATACATCAGAAATATGGCTTTCCTGTACTTACCTCCAATCGGCTGGGGCTGACTATAACATCTCCTTGGCTCTGGAAAATGTCACTCTGGCATCTAAAAGAAGAAATAACAGGAGAGAAAGCACGTTGAGGCTCTGCATGGTATCAAAGGGATTGCAATCATCAACCAATGTTCAAATGGTGTTTCCAGAGAAAAAATTTCTAGGGCTACACAGGGAACCTCCACTCAGAGTCCCAGTTGGATTTGAATTCATCTTCCTTCCAAACCACAGAATATCCTCATTTGTCTGGATAGGCCTGAGGTAAAAATGTGAAAAATCAGACAGAGAAAGGGAAAAACAGAGATCTGAGAGAGAGAGAAAGGAAAGAATAAAGCTGAGAAAGAGAAGTAACCTGTGAAATCAATGAATCCACATCCTTCTGGTGTTGGAAAAGGCACTTGTCTTTGAAGTCTGAAAAGGAAAGAATTTTCTCTGGAGAACAGAAAAGACATTCTCCATTTAATACTGCCTCTGGCACAGAACCGCCGTGAGTCGCTCAGTTCCTCAAAGCAAACTGAAAAGCAACAAGCCAAGGTGGGGAACGGATCCATCCCTCTAAGGAGAGCACAAATGCTGCCACAACTGAAGGATGTGAATCTGGGGCATTTGAACTCAGAACTGTAGGTTTTGCCTCGGCATCTGAATTTTCATCTCTCTGATGTCACCACTCTGCTGAAAACAGAGTCCAAACCAGGAGCCAGGAATCAAACCAGAGTCATCACAGTGCAACATCACAACCATGCAACATTCCCACCCCAAATAATAAGATGGTGACTGAACAATTCAAGCCACTGTTAGAACCTTTAACCAACCCTGAAGTGGCTGGTGGCAATGGCCCAGGTATTTGAGTAGTCTCTGCTGGCACAAATCACTCAGATACCTTCCCTCTGAAGCTCTAGCTCCTCTGCACAGCTCCCCGTCCTCTCTGTGGGAGGAATGGATTGTTTTAAACACAAGCAGTTTATATTTGCATCTTGATACCTCTGCAGAGGTATTCCGAAATAGGAGGAAAGTTACACAGCAATTTGATCCTAAGAGAGTTATTGTGTTTCAGGAATGATAGGGGTTGCTGGGGGCTCCAGACCCAGATTCCCAGGAAACAAGGGATAAAAAAAGGCACCTGCAGTCAGGACAGGTGCTGTTCTGCAAAAAAAAAAAACCAAAAAAACCACCTTGCCAGGATCCCGATGGGGAAAATATATCAAGTTTCTCGCTGAAGCCAGGCTTTGAATGACACTTGTGGGAGAAATCAAACCCTGGATACGACGTTTATTGGCTCTCCCTCGTGCACATGATCGGCTCCTGAGGGAGAGGCTTGTTCCCAAGGCTACGGAGTCAGGCAGAGAAGCTGGAGTAGGGAGCAGGTGGCTGCCAGCAGGGCTTGGGAAGGTAATAGGATTGCCAGCCTGCAGCAGGGAAAAAGCCAGGAGCGAAGTGGGGAGTGATGGGTGCCCCCCTTCTTTCCCAGCTCCACAGTAAGGAGCCAAACCTCAGTGCCCTCTCCAAAATCCCAGAGAAACAAAGCCCAGAATTGCCTGCCAGAGGTGGGTGCTGGCCCCCTCTCAGGGAAGTTTTCATGCTTTATTGACACCTGCAACTGTTAGAGGATTAAAATCTCGCTTGAGAATATCATAGAGCTTCAGGATATTGTAGGGTATTGTGCTTGCCTGAACACTCATTTGCCTCTTATCCCTGTGGATAAGAAAAATCATTTTGCTGCTGCTTTTTCTGGGTGGTACAATAAAAATCTTTTTCCTCGAGCTGTTTTCCACGTGGGATTGCAGTGCAGCAAAGAGAATGGAGACTGGAGGTCTGTTTTCAGCTGGTTAATTCTTACTTTTCTGTAGTAGTCCACATAAAACCACTTTTCCCCTTTTGTCTGTCTTTCAGCACTAAGCGGATGATTTTTTCTCTTGTAAATGAAAATGATGTGGTACCCTTGAGGAAGGGTTATGTGTGTTTTCATTTTAGTCAGATATTTAAATAAATCAATGTACCTGTCTGTCTGTGGAGTTTTCTCAGACTTAATCTCTCCAGTTGAGGATTTTGTTTTGTGCCCAGTACATACACTTGTTCCTGGAAACTTGTATCAAGGTGATCTTTTAAATAACCTGAAAGGATGGACGGCCTACTACGACCTCTGTTTTTTCCTGAAATCGAGATCCAAAATGCCACAGTCAAACATGTAATTTCTTTTGACGTGAAATAATCTCCTCTTGATTCTACAGCCTATCCCTCACTTTGAAAATACCACGCAAAACAGAAACTTTTCCTCTCTGACAAGATTGGTGTAAAAATAAAAATATTCCAGTTTTTATTACTGAACTGGATTTAGGGAAGGCTGCCTTTGGATCTTTTGCTTTTGACGCTGTGGGCTTTTCTTTGGCGGGAGAAAATCCCCTCACCCCGACTTCTGCCTTCAGTCAGCTCACGGTCACCTCTCCAAAACATGCCACCTTACTGGCCAAATAACATATGACAAATGATCCAGACCCTTCCTTATGCTCGCGAAATGATTTTTTTACCTCCAGCCTCAAGCACGGCATCGCTAAACCACTTGGGCCTCCCGCCCACAAAATGGCGCCCACGCCGTGAGGGGGCAGCGGCCATGTTGGGGCTGAGGGGCTCAACGCCTCAATTCCCGATGGAGTCAGCGGGTCTTGCAGGAGCAGCAGGTGGCTCGGAATGGCTCCTTCTCGCGGGGAGCAGCCGGGAGGAGCTTGGCGGCTCTCCCCAGGGCTTGGTAGGTGGGCAGCAGCGCCCTGCGAAGCTGGGAGCGCGGTGTCATGGAGCGCTGAGGGGACGGAGCTGCGCGGGCTCCGTCCCCTCACGGCTCGCGGCGGGAATGGCGGGAGAGCAACCGGACCCGTCCCGCCTGAGGGAAGGCGGCTCCAGTGCCCGCCATAGAAAGACTGAGGGGGTTTCCCCCTTTGCTCGCCTTTCTGGCCCCTTAGGGGTGGGCTCTGGGACGAAGGGCTCCGCTTCTCTGCCCAGTATGCCCACAAGAAGCACAGGGAAGTGTCAGGCAGAGGGGGTTGTTGAAGGTGTTAAATCAGGCAGGTACGGCAAATGCTGCTTGGGGCTGCCTCTGGGCTTGCGGTGTGCTCACAAGGGCTCCCGAGGCCGAGTCACACAGGAAAATCCGCATAAACTGAACAAAGAACCCGTCAATACCATCTGATTTCAAAACTGCAACCGAGTAACAGATTTTTCTCCTTTCTTCCTCCTTTTTTTGTCTCTTTTCTCCTCCTTTTTTTTTCTCTTTTCTCCTCCTTTTTGTGTCTCTTTTCTCCTCCTTTTTGTGTCTCTTTCCTCCTCTTTTTTGTGTCTCTTTCCTCCTCCTTTTTGTGTCTCTTTCCTCCTCTTTTTTGTGTCTCTTTCTTTTCTCCTTTTTTTTTTTCTTCTTTTCTTTTCCTATTTTTTTCTCTTCTTTTTTTCTTCTGTCTGCATCTGGGTTTGTCCTGACGAAACAAACCAGAAGATTTGGAAAAGGATGGAAACTTACCTCCCCTTAAGCATCTTTAAGTCCTCCTGCAGTTTTAAAATTCAATGGGCAGAATTAATTTTGTTACATTAAGTTGACTTGTAATGGATTAAAAAGTAAATATGCATATTTTTCTTCACAGCTGCTGTTCCAATGAACGAGAATATCCAGGAATTAAGGTAGTACACAGGATTTGTTTGCTATTAGAAAATCCTTGCCCTTGCTATGTGTCTTTCTTCTTTTTTTTTTGTCGGCTGAAATTAGTGCTTGAATTTAGTGATTTTTATACACAGTTGTATATCCAGTATTTGAAAGTTTCTCCCACAGAAAGGTCATTAATGAGTTTGAAAATTGATGGCAAACTGAGATTTGATTTATTGATTCCCTCAGACTAGTGATTCAAGACACCACCCCCTCAGGAATGGAGCAAATGATCCATTGCCTGATCAATTCCAATAAAAAAAGGCAATGTGAATTGACTCAGGTTTCCTTCCTTTTGTACTCAAGATTTTATATAAACAAACTCCTCTTATTCTGCAACAACAGGAAATCTGTTCCAGTCTGATTGGCAGAGCAAACGGATGGAAACGCAGTTGGAAAGAGATGCACTTCAGGACAGCAGGTATGAAGAGATTTATCATGGACGGTGTCTGTATGGGCTTTGAGAGGCACAGCAGGCTTCCTCAGGGAGAAGCTCCTCTCCAGGAATAACATTCTAGCACTCCTGGGTTAGAAAACAACCCATTATTTAGTTGTAAAAACCAGCAGTTAACCAACTGAAGTATTGGACCTGTGAGGATAGAACTCCAGGTGAATCCTGTTTTCTGAATTACTTTACTTTTGTTTCCTAATTCAGACAGAAGGAATTGCAGAGCCAAGAGAATCTACAAACACAGTTAAAAAATAGTCCTGGAGAGCTGGAAGCTGCCAGCCAACAGCAGGATGGGGTGCTGAAGGAGGCTGACAGCCAAAATGAGCGTCTGACAAAGGTGGTGCACAGCCTGGAGGAATTACTTCTGGAATTATGTGGCATCCTAATGGACTGCGGAGCCAGCAGGGGCAGGAAGCTCAGTGAGCATAGGGATATGTCCAGTCTGAGCACAGCATTTCGTGATGTCCAGCAGGACCTGGACTCACAGGTGTCACACGTCAAAGGAAAGCTGGTCCTGGTACTTGAGCCAAGTCCTAATTCTCCTTCCAGTGCTCTGTGTTCTGGCTTTTAGGAAATACATTTCAAGACTCCCTGAGCTCCCTTCTAGTCTGGCCTAGGGAAGGGGTTATGGCATAAAGGGGTGTAAATGCCACCTTGCAGTGAAGGTGGCAGCCTTCTACTCTGGTCACACCTCGAGGCTGGGTTTACTGCTGGGGTTTGCCACGTTTCCACAGCTCAAGGTGGAACCAAAAGGGAGGAAATCACACCTCAGAATCGGCTCTTCAGACTGCCTTTTCTTCAGGGGTTTGCTGTGTCCTCTGTTCACAGTAGGCAGAGGAAGAGCTTCAGCTGCTGGCCAAAGATTTGCAGACCCAAAGATAACTTCTGCTTCAGCAACATCAAATGCATTCTTTTTTCTTCTTTTTTTTACAATTCATAAAGCATAACCAGACATTTTTCACATGCTCCACAGAGAATTCCTTTGTGGTGATGATGGTATTTGGGGTGGGGCGACTAGCGAGTATCAAGCAATGTTTTTGAGGACTTCAGTAATTGTTCCATCAAGGTGTTTATTTGCTCATGGCTTTCTGCTGCTTTTTCCTTCCATGCTGACTATCTCCTGGTTTATTTACTGCCACGAAATTTCTATTTTGGAAGAATCTCTGCACCTTACTTTTCTGAGTGTCACTGAAGTGGACAAGTGGAATTTGTTGGGACACCAGTTCCACCATTAAAAGAAAAGACTGAAAGTGATTTTGGTGGTTGAATCAGGTTTTTATTGCTGGTTTCACTAAGAGTTTTGTCCTTTCTGGTTTGAGATGTCCTAATTTTTGCCCCGTCATCCACTTGAGTTACACAGTAACCCCCTCAAAGTAAAACTATGCATAGCTTAATACTTAATAACAGAATATCGAAATGCCTCAATTTCTGACAAGTGAAAAAACTTGGTATTCGCAAAGATGGAATTGTAGCCAGTGTTTTGTTTTGGGAAGGGGATCGAGCAGCTCAGGAACGAGCACGAGGTGGCAGCACTGCCTCACAAAGCAGACGGTGCCTGCAGCTTGCAAGTAGCGTCCAAAGCCGGGTGGAGACAGCTCATTAAGTCTGGGTTTTGATTATAGTGTAGGAAATGTTAAGAGTAACCTGAATTTGAGAGAAAGCTTATGCTGCTCCTACACTCCGCCCTCTGCCCTATTCTTCTGGTTTCTCGGTGCTGTTGTTGAAGTGGAGCACTGGTTGCACAGACTGTGAACTGAAAAGGGGAAAAAATCCAGAAACCCCACAAAACCACGCCATACAGAGGAGAGACAAAACATCCATGCAGGCTGAGAATGAGGAGGCCAGGGCTGCTTCTCCTTTGCTGGTTCTTACTGTTTCTAATTTCTCCACCTCAAACTTCACATAGAGAACAAGCAAGAACCCCAAATTTGGTGCATCCACATCAAGTCTGTCACCTGGAATCCACAGTTTGTCAGCTCCCTTCCCAGTTAGGAGGAGTGAAAAGGATCTATGAGACCAAGGTGTGTGTGGATTTGCCTGTTAGCTTTGGTGCCAGTGAAATTCAGTGTGTGGAGATCTGAAACGTTCCAGAGATGGGAGGAAAGTCTTTTAATGAGGGATTGCTTAAAAAAACCTGTCTGGATAATATTGGATAAATTACATTATCTTAAGTTTTGCATATAAGAAGAATTTTATTCAATAGCCTTGTAGACTGGTTCACCATCTCATAGGCTGGCAGAAGTTGCCTCCTTTCAGAGAAAGGTACAAAACATGTTTGAGTGGAGATTTCTGAATACAGGCATGGTGAAGGAGTAGTTCTCTCTGAAAAAAGGTCTTTTTTTTTTTTTTTTTTTTCCCAAAGTGTTTTTTCGCCATTCCAATCAGCATTTATAGTGTAGATAGGGGACTTCTGAAGAGGTCTGGATCAGGGTGGAAGTCAAATTACTCTCCAGAAATTCAGTTAATTCTGAAATTAAACTGAGCTTACTCACTAAAAGAAGACAACACAATTATGAGCACACTCAGGGAATAACTCTGCTGGGCCAAAAGATAACATTTGTGCTTCTTTTAATGAAGAACCCCATAAGCAATCCAATGTGCTGTTTAAATAGAATGCTTTAAGGCAATTCTTCAGGAGCTTTTGCCTTTTTCTAGGTCGAAGACCTTGAGAAGCAGTTGCATGTAGCTCATCTTGAGGCAGCAGAAGCTCAGACAGACCAGACACAACATGGCCAGGAACCTGCAAACCCGAATGACCGGATTTATCAGTTGTTGGTAAAAAACAAGTGATAGTATTGAAAAAACACTTTCTGAAAGCCTCTCCTTACTTCTGGTGTTCAGATTTGCACCTTGCTTGTTTCCCCTTTTAATTAACTTTGAGGATTATTTATATCTAGAAATTTGAATTAGCTGTGAAAGGCCCAAGGGCATTTGCCATTAGCAGTAAGGGGCATTCAGAATTAAGACTTAACTTTGTCATAAATTCAAAGCCACAGAAACCTATGCAAATCATGTAAAGATGCTGAGCTATCTCCACTTTAACCTCACAGTTTAGATCCCTCTGTTAGGGAACCTTTGTCCCTTAACACATATTTAGCAAGATTAATCTAATATTCAAGCAGTAAACAGCAGCAGAAGTTATGATTATCAGAAATGCCCATTGGTGATTCTGTTTGGGCCGCACTATAAATTCATATTGTTGAAATGAGTAGCTCTGAAATGTTCATGTTAGTGTTTTTAACATTATTTGTGTTTTAAATTATCATTAAGAGAACCAAAAAATCCTAAATTTATTTAGGAGGGAGATGACTTTAATTTCTTATAGACTGAACTCCATAAAAAAGAGAGAACTAACCCTAGAAAAAGAGCAGAACAAGTGTTTTTGGGATCAGAACACAGAGAACAGCATCACCTTGGAGCAGCTCAGGAGGCAGCTGGACAACAAGAAAGATGGAAAAGGCACTGAAGGAAATGAGGATGGAGTGTCGCAGACAAATGGAGTGCCAGGTTGGTGGTGCTTTTGACTCTAAAGCTCCAAAGTGACTTTTTGTACATTTCCAGAAAGTTCAATGCTACCAGATCTACCAAACCAATTGTTGGAAGTGGTATTTTCAGCTGTGAGCATGTCTGTAAGAGTAGTGAGTAAATGAAAGGCTCTCATAATGCCTTACTTTATTCAGTATTTAATGAAAATGTAATGAAGTTTATGTATAAACCAGAATTTATATTCATGTAGTATTTATAAACCAGTGAGAGCTGTGTCAGAATTCCTTCTGACCAAGTAGACGCTGCCTTTACATTCCCCTTTTTTCTCAACTTCAGCCCCTCAAAAGTGAGCTGTAATTAGATAACCTTCTTTGCATTATGAATAAAGATCCAGTTGATTCCTTCATTTTCTAATAAACTAGAGGCTTCACTCACACATCATTCTAAATTTTCTCAGTCTATTATTTTTTTTGTTGAAAATCTCCCACCAGGAAGTTCACTCTTTTCTTCTGTTTGTAATTTGCAATATTACCAGTTTCTGAATCACAGCACTTGGTACTTTATATGGTACATATTGCTGCTTGCAGGAATTAAATCAGTAATAAATTATTCATGTAATTGGTTTTTTTCCCCAACTTCACAGAGCAGCCAGTCGAGTTTTATCACTTCAAGTTATTTAGCCTTAAGTGCTCTGAATTTTGTATTAACATTGCCAGTGGATTTTTTTTTTTGAGATCAGTTGAACATTTTTCATTTCCTGTGTTTAAAAAACCAATATTCTATTCAGTTATTAAAATGGAGAGAGGAGCCCAGAGCATCCTGACCTAATTTTTCTGTACAACTCTGGTGTTGAAGATGGGCTACAGAAAACGAGAAAGATGCCAGGACATTCAAAAGGTAGAAACAAACAAATCTTTTGCTTGACCTGAGCTGCAATGGAGCAACGGAAGTGGAGAAATCCCAGCTGGAAAAATAAATAAATGATTGGAAACTCAAAGCAGAAGAGTTTAAAGTGTGCAAACAATGCTGTATTTGTCTTTTTATGATGGTAAATGTTTTATGGTTTTTAATCTCTGCCTTAATGTGCTGATACTGTGGTTTTGAAGGAGGTCAGGCAATAATGCCCCTGGAATTGTAACAGTCCTCAGTTAGTGGGCAGAACAGGATAATATTATAACGTTACCACTTAAAATGAATAATTCTATGGTGAAAAGCAGCTGCCAAAAGGCTGGTGCAAGCTGGAATGACCTCAGTGAGATGAATGTCCACAGCAGAAGAGAACCAGAAATACCAAGTGTTACTGAGAAGCAGCAGACAGGCAGCAGTCAGAATTCCAAACTGAGGACACCAGTTATTTCTCAGACAAGAAATACGGGATGTGGTAGTGCCATGCAGGTCAGCATCTTCAGAAGAAAAATCACTCCAGACAGGGAATTTCGTCCTTTTTTGTGAGAAGCCATTTGAGTGCACGTGGGGGAGATGCTAGAAGAGAATGGAAACCATGTTCATATGCTACACCTGGTGAGGTTCATTATTCTTTAAAGCTGTCAGATGCAATTCTGCTGCACCCTCTTTGCCTGGATTAGCAATTTTCACACAAATAATTGGTCTGTTTCACTCCAGTTTTCTTTCTTGCCCCAGACTGGGATTTGTAGTAGTGTTGTCCATGCATCTTTGTTGTTATTTTATGTAATTACGTATATTGAACATAACTGGTTTTTATGTATGCAGAGTGCAAAGGACGAGAAAGAAGTCAGAATACATGAAATGGAGGCCAGGCTGAGCGAGTTGGAGCTGGAAAAAG